TTTTTTTTTTTTTTGAAACTATAAATAAATTACACTAAAAAAATGGCGGCCCAAACGGAGGCCCAATCAAGTGACAGAACTAAATAGGCCCAATTGAGGTTCAAATTAATACCAATTAGACTTTTTTTTTTTTTTTAAAACTAGAGCAGATTACACTGGCCCAAACTGAGGCCCAATAGCTAATCAAAATACACTAAAATTGAGGCCCAATAGCTAATCAAAATACACTAAAAATTGAGGCCTAAATTGAGGCCCAATAGCTAATCAAACTAAAAAAATCGGTGGGGACACTATATTTTCCTTTGCCCAACTACACTAAAATTGAGTCAGCAGGATCTTCCTTTACCCAATTCTCCTCCACGCATCCAGGGGACATTGGTGGGGACACCATATTCTGACCACCATTGACTCGCTTTTATGGAAGTCGGAGAAAACTCGTTCAACCCCTTAGTTTATGGTTGGACGATTGATTGCATCCTTTATGATTTATCCACTCAATAGGGTCGAGTTTTTCTCCCACCCCAGGAGAGTTGATGCTGACATCATCGAGATCGGGATTTATTTTTATTGTTATTGAAGTTTATTATTTATGTTTCCTATTATTGGGCTTGTAGTAGCGGTTGGCCTATGCTTTTTTTTTTACAATTTATTGGATATTTTCATTGGCGTTGAATTAGTTATTGATTGAATGAAAATTATAATTGGCGGCTGCCACGTTTTTCTTTTCCCCTGTTTTTCTTCCACGTTTCTTTCTCCCCTGCCTTCTCTTCTGTGTCTTCTGCTGTTGTCGCTGGAATAGAGACGAGTGTGTGATTTGCGGGAGCATTAGGTGATTACGGCGGTGGGGAATTATTGTGGATTGCGGAATTAGGGGCGAAGGTGGGTTTTGTGGTTTGATGGGGGTTGCTGTATGTGCGAGATGGTTTTCTGGAATATAGGCAGTGCTGATTTTATTGGTGACTGTAAGGGGCGACGGGTGGTGAGAGTTGGAGTTACTGTTGGTGTTGTTGAAGTTGCGGTGTGTAGGCAGGTGTTTGTTTTTTGAGGGGGCCTGTGGTGGATGGACGATATGGGCTTGATTGATTTATTGGATTTATGGATTTGTTTGGTGGCCGGCGGCTATGAAGATGCTGGACTGGGTTAGGGATATTTAAAGCTTACGGGTTTGCAGTTTTGGGTGGTGACTGGTGGGAGATGCAATGGAACTGGGTGGTAGAATTAGGTGCGTGGGTGTAGTAGTTCCTAAGCTTTGGCTCTGATACCAATTCAATGTTGAATCAATGGGAGGAAAACAAGAAAAAGAAAAGAGAAGGCAGGGGAGAAAGAAACGTGAAAGAAGAACAGGGGGAAAGAAAAACGTGGCAGCCGCCAATTATGATTTTCATTCAATCAATAACTAATTCAACGACAATGAAAATATCAAATAAATAGTAAAAAGAACCTAACTTGAAGGGATTGGGCCAACCCGCTACTACAAGCCCAATAATAGGAAATATAAATAATAAAGT